TTTCTCCTCACTTTCTGCCATCAGAGTGGTATCATCTGCATATCGGAGGTTGTTGATATTTCTTCCGGCAATCTTAATTCCGGCTTGGGTTTCTTCCAGTCCAGCCTTCCGCCTGATGTATTCTGCATATAAGTTAAATAAGCAGGGTGACAGTATACAGCCTTGTCGTACTCCTTTCCCAATTTTGAACCAATCCGTTGTTCCATATCCAGTTCTAACTGTTGCTTCCTGTCCCACATATAGGTTTCTCAGGAGATGGATAAGGTGGTCAGGGACGCCCATTTCTTTTAGGACTTGCCATAGTTTGCTGTGGTCCACACAGTCAAAGGCTTTTGCATAGTCAATGAAGCAGAAGTAGATGTTTTTCTGGAACTCTCTGGCTTTCTCCATAATCCAGCGCATGTTGGCAATTTGGTCTCGAGTTCCTCTGCCCCTTCGGAATCCCGCTTGTACTTCTGGGAGTTCTCGGTCCACATACTGCTGAAGCCTACCTTGTATGATTTTGAGCATAACCTTGCTGGCGTGTGAGATGAGTGCAATTGTCCGGTAGTTGGAGCATTCTTTGGCACTGCCCTTCTTTGGTATTGGGATGTAGACTGATCTTTTCCAGTCCTCTGGCCACTGTTGAGTTTTCCAAACTTGTTGGCATATTGAATGTAGCACCTTAACAGCATCATCCTTTAAGATTTTAAATAGTTTGACTGGAATGCCATCACCTCCACTGGCCTTGTTGTTAGCCACGCTTTCTAAGGCCCACTTGACCTCACTCTCCAGGATGTCTGGCTCTAGGTCAGCAACTATATTGTCTGGGTTGTCCGGGATATCCAAAACTTTCTGATATAATTCCTCTGTGTATTCTTGCCACCTCTTCTGCATATGTACATATAAATCAGTCCTTGACTACGTAACCTGCATAAGTATAAACTGGGGATAGGCAATGCATAACTCTCCAGATATTGTTGAGAAGTAGGGTGAAAATGAAAAGTACATATGAGATGGATTGACTTAATAAAGGAAGCAACAGTCTTGAACTTGCAAGAGCTGAGCTATTAATAGAGGTCACTAATTGCTATGGTCACCTTAAGTCAGAGGTGACTTGATAGCACATAACAAGAGAGCCCTCATCATTGCTTATCACTAGTTATTTAGCAAGGACTGATAAGAGCTTTAGTAATAAAGCATCAGTATGAAATCTAATTAGGAAAGTGAGTTGCATAGGAATTTTTTTAAAACTAACATATTCTTTTACATAGGTAAAGGGTAAAGGTTCTCCTTGACATTTAGCCCGGTCATGTCCTACTCTAGGGCTCATCCCCATCACCAAGCTGTAGAGCCAGCATTTTTCTGTAGACCATTTCCGTGTTCACGTGGCCAGTGCGACTAGACACGGAACGCTGTTACCTTCCCACTGTGGTGGTACCTATTTTATTGATTGATTGATTGATTGATTGATTGATTGATTTGATTTGATTTTTACCCCGCCCCTCTAGACTACGTCTACTCGGGGCGGCTTACATAGGTTCACACACATTTATCTACAGTACTTGCATTTACATGCTTTCAAACTGCTAGGTTGGCAGGAGCTGGGACAAGCGACAAGGAGTTCACTCCGTCGCGTGGATTCGATCTTACGACTGCTGGTCTTCTGACCTTGCAGCACAGAGGCTTTTTTTTGTTTGACCCACAGTGCTATCATGTCCCTGCCCTTCTTTTACATACATGGGTCTAATTTGTTCTCATGACCTTTTTATCATTTCCTCAGAAAGTGATTTAAAAACATCCATATATTGATGACAGTGATGTTAAACCAAAGAGGCCTTTTCATCTTAAATAAAAAACTCCTACAGAAAAATGCCAACTCTTAGCCCACCCATATTTCTTAACAAAATTGTGGGTTTGATATTGCTTATGTAAGTGAAAGATTTTTGACAGCAGATTTATTCAGATGCATACTTTTACAGATCAGAATTGTTCCTAGTCAATGAACCAAATACATTTCAGAACCTCAGTACAAGGCAGTGTAATTATTTGGACTGTGCTTTGATTTGGTTTACTCATAATTCTAGTGGTGAAATGGAACAACACATTTTGAACAATCATGCAGTTGCATTATGATACATATTTTAGATATCAGCTCTCTGGAGGGTACTTAAGAAGAGCATTTGTCTCTGATTCATGTAAGTAATGATAATTTCTATGTTTTTTTAATATATCAGCTGACTGGATAACTCAGTGGTTTAGGTGTCAGTTGACAGTTCAATTCCCCAATGTGCAACCCAGGAGAACAGCTAGTCTGTGTGGCCTTTGGGAGGCTGCACAGCCCCAGGATGTCCCATGAGGAATTGCCTCAGTCTGGTCTCCAAAAGTAGCAGCTCTACTGCTGAACCAAAAAGATCAGGATCAGGTTAGAGAATTATTGCTGTTAAGGCATGCGATCACGGGGAAAGAGCTTGCACCAGATCGCATCCAAAATGCAAGCCCCAGTATGCACTTTGGTTTGCCGTAAGACCTGGAAGAAGGAAGCATCACTCCCGTTCACACATTCGTTTATAAGTTATAATGATCTGGTTGGGAGGGTAGTTTTTGGGAAAGGGACGCCCCTCCCGCCCTTCGATCCACTCGCTCTTTCACTGAGGCTTTGCACCAACCGTCGATTTGCACACTCCAGTTAGACAACCTTAATTAATATTCGAGATCCCAGCTCTGTGAAACCTTATTTTTAATAGAAAGTCTGAGAAGTATAACGCGTGCTGCCTTTGAGTTTGTGCAAAGCACCAGTCCCTCGCTGCTCGCCGTTGCCATGGGAACCCAAACACAGAAAGGACGGGAAAGGCTCCTCTTGCGGTTACTTGCTCGGCCGCCGGTACTCTTCCTGCGAAACCATTGCCCTTATTTCTTCCTCGACGAAAAGCGGGAAGAGAAGCGCTCTCTGAGGAAAAAAAGGGCTGGCCGTGGGCGTTTCTCAAGCCAGGTGGCGGAGCTCCCACGCCAGACCTGAAGCTGGAGAGGGGACGCGGTGGCTTCTTTCCTGGCGCTTCCTCAGGGCTTCTCGCCCGGTCGCCGCCATTTTGAGGCGCTGCGGGTCGCCGCCGGCACCTGTCGGGGCACTTTTGTGGACCCGTGGTTGGTGGTAGGGCTCATAGAGCTGCGTGCCCTCGCCTGGCCCGCTTCCTCCCCGCCCGGGAAAGCTACTAAGGCATGAGTAGACTGAGCTAAAGTAAAGAAATGCAGGTGCAACAGGCGCCCTGACTCTTCTCCCCCGACATCCCACGGAAGGGTCCAGGTAAGGCTCATAGGCGTCCAGCACCATCGTCTCCTTGAAGCATCATTGCCCCGGGTTGCTTCCAAGAAGACATGCATTGCTCTACTAATTAACCTGTTCTCTTTTTGCTTAAACAAGCAGAGTGCATAGCTTCTAAATCCAGTATAGCCTACGCCTACGCAAAGGATGGTGCAATTCTTTTGCAACTTACTGATATTCTTTTGTTAGAAATGCTGTGCCCAAAATGCTAAAAATTACCAAAGTGTAGCTAGCTATCTCTCCCTCGCACCTCCCCATGCTTCTATTCTACTTGGATCTGCGGCACCACCGTATAAAATACTGTACTGTAGTGGCAGCTCTAATGTCACAGTGCATTTTAAAATCTCCTTGGAAGGATACAGTGGCATGCACAACATTTAACCTATGTAAGAATACAACAAGCAAAACCAGTGAAGTAGTTATGTAAGGTATGATTCTTAGTGTACTTTGCTAATTTTTTGATACTTGCAGGCAAACAAATTGAATATTTTTAACACAATCATATACTTTATTGCTTTGTAGCCAATCAGGCTGTACTCAAGAACATAGATTAAACCAATCATTAAATAGTACTTGACATATGCTCGTCGTCGTTTAGTCGTGTCCGACTCTTCGTGACCCCATGGACCAGAGCACACCAGGCCCTCCTATCTTCTACTGCCTCCCTACTTGGCATATATGCCCCCCCCCCAAAAAAAACAAAATGGTACATGGGCCTGTAGGAGGCAACTTGCATTAAAAACAACAAATGGGACAGATAACAAAAAAAATGTTATGTACTCTCAGGTCCCCTCCATCTGCAGTTCTGAGATTCTTCTAAGATTAATAGCAACCCTATAACAGACCTGGTTAGCTCTTACAAACTCGAGCATGTTGCTTCCTTCGTCCATATCATGCTTGGTTTTCCTCTTTTCCCGCTGCCTTCAACTTCTCCCAGCATTGTTGTTTTTTCTTCTGACTCTTGCCTTCTCTTGATGTGCCCAAAGTGTAAAAACCACAGTTTCATCATTTTCACCTTTGGAAAAAGTTCAGGCTTGATTTGCTCAAGGACTCATATGTTTGTGTTTCTGGTAGTCCAGGCTATCCACACAGCCCTAGTCTGGTTTCATATTTCGAATGAATCAATCATTTTCCTATCTGCTTTCTTCCCTGTCCAGCTTTCACATCCATACATAGTACAATAATTGAACATATGGTTATGCACATGATTGTGGCCTTGATCTATAGTGATATATTCTTAATACTTAATTATCTTCTCTAGTTCTGTCATAGCTGTCTGAGTTGTCTTCTAATTTCTTAATAACAGTCCCAATTTGATGATTGAACCAGGGTGTACAAACCAAGTTAACAATTGCAATTTCTGCAGCAGAGACAGCATCAGATAAAGTTTTGTGTAGATATGGCAATATAATTAATAAAATGTTTAGTGGAATGGAAATAAATAAATAAATGTCTTAGGTTCCTCTTTAAAGTATGCAATAGAAAGGTTAAATCGATTCTTGAGGGAGAACATTCCACAATTATAGACTTACCACTGGAAAGAGGAGGGGCTTTTCCCTGGCAAACAGTGATTAGCCATGTGATCTTCCAAAGGAAGTACAGTGGTGCCTGGACTTACGAAAGTAATCCATATTGGAACGGTGGCCACAACTCGAAATTTTCATAAGTAAAATCACCATTTTCCATAGGAATGCATTGAAATCTGTTTCAGCTGTTTATTGTTCTTGTAGAAGCGCCGTTCTTAAGTCGAAGCATTTGTTCCCATAGGAACTAATGCAAAGCCGGTTAATCCGTACTCTACCACTAGGGGGAGATTTTTTTCTTCTTTTGACCTAAGATGAACTTAGGTTTAAAAAAAAAGGGCAGGAAAGGAGGGGGGAGGGAACACCTTCTAAACACCTTTAAAAACAAGCACCTTTTAAATCAAACCAAGCACCTTTTAGGTTAAAAAAGGGCAGGAGAACACCTTCTAAACAGAACACCTTTTGAGTCTACAGTAAACTCCATTGTAAAGCTTGGCTGCATCAACAAGCACCACAGCCCCTCACAGAGTATTTTCTGATTTTAAAAAAAAAAAAAAAAGACTTTGAAGCCACATTTTAAACCCACACATTTTAAATCAACAGAGAGGTCACAGTACACAAACCCTAGGAGCCACAGAATGCAAAAATAAATAAATAAATTGTACATTTTAAAATTATACAGTCTAATTTTCACTTTTAATTTTAATTTACTATTACACTCTACTTTTCACATTTTAAAATATAGTGCGCGACCTATCCGGAACTGGTTCAGATGATAGGCCTCCCGCTAGTTTTTTACCTGACCAGTTTGCAGCCTTTTTAAAATCTAAAGTAGTGGCCATCCACTGGGGGCTCTCTCCTTTTTTAAATGCAGTGAGTTGAGTAGAGATGTCCAGCGCTCCGTCTTGCCTGGTGACCTTCGACTCTTTTCAGCCTGTAACGCCTGACTCTGTGACCGGGGTCCTTGATCGCTGTTGAGCCACTCCTCCCAAGACCCTTGCCCGGCCTGGCTAATCAAAGCAGCCAGGCCGATAACAACAGAATGGGCCACTGCAATAATAAATGGGTCTTTCCTTGAGCGCAGATTTCCATCTGCCCTCAAGGAGACACTCATTAGGCCCATAAGAAAGAAACCTAGTTTGGCGGCGGACGAAATTGGCAATTATAGGCCCTTCACCAATGTTTCTTTCATGAGCAAAGTGGTAGGGTGGTGGCTGATCGGCTCCAAGCTCACCTGGACAAAACAGATGCCCTGGACCCATTTCAGTTGGGCTTCAGGCCGCGCCATGGTACAGAGACGGCATTGGTCGCCCTGTACGATGACCTGTTGAGGGAAGCTGACAGGAGCAAAGTGTTTCTGCTGGTCCTCCTTGACATCATGACGACCTATGATACCATCGACCACGGTATCCTCCTGGGGAGGCTCTCCGAGTTGGGTATCGGTGGTCTTGCATTGATCTGGCTCCACTCCTTCTTGGGGGACCGTCCCCAGAGAGTGCAGCTTGGGGAGAGT